ATCTGGCTCCCTCTTCTGACCTGCAGGGATACATGCAAACTGAACTCGGTACACATAATAAATAAATTTTTTTAAAAAAATTAGGATGTCACTGGGTATGGCAAAAAACATCTTTGCTTCCACTTGGGAGGCAGAAGGGGATCTCTGAATACAAGACCAGCCTGGCCTACATAATGAGTTCCAGATAGTGATATGTAGAGAAACCCTGTCTCAAGACAAACAAAAAAATTCGTTAGGAGGTTAATGAACATCATCTCTAACTAAATATGAGGTTGGAGGCCAGGCTGGGCTACAAGAGTTGTTTTAGAGAAGAAAAAGAAGGGGGGTAGAGGAGGCAGAGCAGTAGGTAAAGAGGTGTTTTTTTTTGTTGTTGTTGTTTTGAGACAGGGTTTCTCTGTGTAGCTTTGTGCCTTTCCTGGGACTCACTTGGTAGTCCAGACTGGCCTCGAACTCCCAGAGATCCGCCTGGCTCTGCCTCCCGAGTGCTGGGATTAAAGGCGTGGGCCACCACCGCCCCGGCTTGTTGGTTTTTTTTTTCTTTTTGGTATGTACTGGCTGGTTTTATGTCAACTTGACACTAGCTAGAATCATCTAAAAGGAGGAAACCTCAGTTGAGAAAAATGCCTCCATAAGGTTCCGCTGTGAAGCATTTCCCTAATTAGTGACTGATGGGCGAGGGCCCAGGTCACTGTGGGTGGCTGGTGGTCCTGGACTCTACAAGAAAGCAGGCTGAGCAAGCCAGTAAGCAGCACGCCTCCATGGCCTCTGCATCAGCTCCTGCTTTCCTGCTTGAGTTCTGCCCTGACTTCCTTCAGTGGTGAACAGAGGCATGGAAGTGTAATCCAAATAAGTCCTTTCTCCCCAACTTGCTTTTGGTCACGGTGTTTCTTCATAGTACTAATAACCGTGATTGAGACAATGCCAAAGGTGTGTGTGGGGGTGGTACTTCTCAAGGTGCCTTAGGCCTTTCCTTGATCTTATAACACACACAGAACGTATGTGTGCCCAACAAAACAAATATGTAAATAAACTAAAGTGACTATTCTCACCCTCAACAGTACCTTGAATTGTTTTTTTTTGGTTTGGTTTGGTTTTTGGTCTTTGAGACAGGGTTTCTCTGTGTTGTCCTGGAATTCATTCACTTGGCTAGCCTTTCACTCACACCCTGCTCCTTGAATTGTTGTTTTTTTAAATATTGAATTTTGTAAAGTGTGTGTGTGTGTGTTTTACCTGCACATATTCCTGTGAGTCACATGCATGCCTGGTGCCCAGGCCAGAAGGGGATATGGGATCCTTGGGAACTGTAGTTACTGGAAGTGACTGTGAGCCATCATGTGGGTGCGGGGAATTGAACTTGGGTGCTCTGAAAGAGCAGGCAGGGCTCTTAACGACCGAGCCATCTCTCCAGATTTCCCTCAACACTCTATCAAAACGGTCTCATTGTGCCAGAGCACGGGAAGCTCACTGCTTAGTAATCTTCCCCGTACCACATACAATATTTATGACTGACACATGGTCACAGGTTAAAAACATACAAAGTTCAATAATCACTTCAGTACTTGGATCTAGGAGAGAAGGTGGTCCTGAACAGTGTACAGATGTAGAGATTGTATGCTTGGGGTCACTACGGGCTAGAGTTCTCAGATTCAATCAAGGTTCAGTGGAGGAGGAAAGCACCAGGGACAAGAATAGACTGGGGTCAGCAGCAAGTGGGCAGATCGAGTAGCCAATCAGAAACTGAAATGGTTCTTTAAAAAGTGGTGGAAATAGGCCGGGCGGTGGCGCACGCCTTTAATCCCGGCACTCGGGAGGCAGAGCCAGGCGGATCACTGTGAGTTCGAGGCCAGCCTGGGCTACAGAGTGAGTTCCAGGAAAGGCACAAAGCTACACAGAGAAACCCTGTCTCGGAAAACCGGAAAAAAAAAAAAAAAAAAAAAAAGTGGTGGGAATGAAAACACAGTGAGATGTTGTCCTGTGGCTCTGGGCAAGTCAGTGGGTTTGCTGTTAATATGGAATGGAGTCTACAATGTATTAAAAGATGCTCTGCCCACCTTCTGGGACCTGAGGGGACTTCTGGATAGGCCGTTTGAGAATGATGGCAATAAAGCCAATAAAGCATCCGTTATGTTACAACAGTTTATCAAACTCACAGTATTTTAAGTCCAAGTAAAATAGAAAACGCTTATGGAATATTTCTTAAATTTTAAGGCAACAGTGAAAGACCCCCGCTCCATTATGAGGACATGGGGCTTTGGGCCAATGAAA